TTTTCTTTTACACAAAGTCATACCTATATTAGCTGTTCTTCCATACTAAACGTTATAATGGCTCCATTTATTTATATTCATTTCCGGGTTTTCTGCTGAACATTTTGTCCCACTTTAAACTGCACAAAATTTTCCCGCTTAATTTGTCCGATAGCATTCTGCACTTTCTGTGCCATGCTGTGTTGCTAATTGCCCAAGGTTCAATCTAGCCGTAAGTTCTGATTTAATTCTGATAATCTTTACCGTTAATTTTTATAGAAACACGGTCTTCCCATCCATACTGTCTGCCGACGACTACTGCAACATGTTGTTTGCTGCCCAATAGTGACTACTAAACAAACGTGGGTAAAGGTCGTAGAATTTGGTTTCGCTGCGATTTTTACTCACCCTTTTTCGTTGAATTAAACTACACATTACCCGTCAAATAGGATGCGCACGTCGTACGTTTAGGAAAAATAACCAATTCCTTGTCCTGAGTTCACGGGCTTAGCACAGGATCGTGCACCCATTGTCAATAATGGAAGATCCCTCTGCATACCGATGTTTTTGGATGCCAAGATTCAATGAACATTAGTCGACGCATCAACCTTGAAAGTAAGGAGAAGTTTATACAAGGCAGTCCTTGGCTACATTGGTGCAGATTTGAGCCCTAGAATACAGATACCTCACACGCCTTCAAACGTGCACCCACGGACAGGGGCATATCAAAGGTATGGCGATTAGGCGAGTATTGCTTGACCAAGCTGCTCCATTAGAGCACTAAAACCAAACTCCCCTTCGAATCTACTTGCGTTATTTACATCTTGTAGCCTAATAGAAGCAACAGTTCTATTGTTCACAACGTAAAAAGAAAACATCCAGTAATCAACAGCGGTAGCATTCTCACCAAATTTGAGATCCGCTCTTGGGCGCCGCTTATCAGCTCCAGGGCTTTCTTTTGTAAACTGACTCTTTTATGACCTTAGGCGTCCTTTTTTAGCTAGAAAGCTTTCACACCTCGGTCACATTTAAAACGCTGAAAGCCGCTCGCCATTCAGGCTTTCCAGAGTCATATAGGTATTCACCTAATCGAACTCATTGTTCACGCCAATGTATTGGAACCCATCCTCACTTCATTGACCATGTCTGAACTATTGAAATTTATAAAAATGAATATAACCACGCCTGACCACAGAGTTAAATTTCTTTCCACAAACGCACACACACATTATACCATCTCTAATGTCTTTGTCCTCTAAGCGACGGACTCTGAATTTCACTCACTCACTCAACCTGACGTTTCACATTTCTCAACTAGTTAAACTTTTCGTCCGCTACCCATCCAAAACACTCTATGATGTTTTCTTTACTATGCCCTCAACTTCCACAATCCAACACATCCAACCCAAGACCGTACCGCTGACAACCCTCCCATCAACTGCATGAAATGCTTCAAAACAGCCTCCCAACTCAATGCGCAGTCTCAGATACAAGTTTATTATACGAGTTAAGACATTAGTTCCCCTTCATTCACCGTTCTATCCAGTGTTAACTGCACACCGATCAACCTTGAACACATGCCAAATTAACCTTACTTCTGATACTATAAGTCATCCCCGAAATTCCCAGAGTGTCAAAAGAAACAGAAGGCAATTTTACCAACAACCCGCTTGAAGCGGCTTGGCCACATTGTAACTACAAAAAATTTGACAATATAAGCGGAGACATGAGGAAAAGCGTTTTTGACGAAAGCCTGTGTTGTTGGTCTGAGCTTCCCGCAGTGATAGTATGCATCACAGGAGATCGTCCAATGAATTCAAAACAACAGCAGAGGAAAAATATTGCTTCATGTGCACGCGGCGTGACGCCTTCGACCTAATTTGTTCTGCAAACACCACTTTTCGCGCCAGGTTGTAACTACGCCACGCTGAAGGTACATCATCGTCCAAGGCGCCAACATGACCACGCAACTGCTGCTTTTCTTCATACGCTCGTCCCTGCGCGCCTTGAACCATAATTTGTTCAAACTCAACCAAATTCCAGGATTTGTCGACACTTCCTTCTGCGCAGTAAGTCGGTCGAACAATTCTCCATGGCCGGAATATCTGTAGCATGCCATTCTCACTCAGCCATGGATATTTCGTTCTGTAGTATCCCTCTGAATGGTGCATGTTATGATGTGAAAGACTGATCCTCAATTGAAGCTGACTAGTTGTATTTTCCGGTAATCTGCTCGCACATTTGCTGCAGAGCAGGACCACCATGTGTGCAAAGGTGCCAGCTTGAATAATGTGAAGTGAATTATTGAGCAAGGACAATTCTAGCATTAGGCTTTGAGGGTCTTGCAGGCGTTTGCAAAACCAAGGCTATCAGATTCTGTCCAAAGTCGAAATTATTTGTTGAGCCGTTCAGCCAAGCCGCTGAAGTCGATGGGTTTCAGTCGACTGGCATTTTGTCTCTGAAAGACAAGGAAAAACAAATGACATCCTTATGTTTTTATTAGTCCACACTTGGTGATGTAAATTACCATACTCAGAGACTGCACGGGTTGCGCGGCCAAGAACGGAGGAGTTTTGTCATGGCGAAGACGTCCTTAAGATTTGCACTAGTCATGTCCTGAACAAGCTAACTGTTGTTCAGTGATGAAATCGGTTGCTCCGAAATCGCGACGGACTAACTGATGTCTGAGGCCTTCACCAACAGGAAATCGCATAGCTTGCATCTAGGTTCTAAAAGTTGTCTTCAACTAGAGGGTTGCCGGTTACACTTTCTACCGTATGCGTTATAAATGTCCAAAACCTCCAGAAAAGTTGAGAGTATTGGTACCTGGCTTGGCTTAACGGCCAGACGGTCCCGGAAACAGCCACTGTACGTTATAAAATACAAACCAAATGATAAAACTCAACAATGACGCATGCAACTCGATTAGTCTACAGTGGTAGGCGGTTTGGCAAGCTGATTTAAACCTGTCTTCCATCTCGAAGAAGTCGTTTAGCGGCAGCCCGGCTGCACAGTAGCTTACGAGCCAAGAGTGGTCCGTGCCATCACAGGCTGTTAGCCTTTGGTGCGACTGAAACAATAACAGTCTGTCTTCATGGGAGCGAGAACTGGAATTTTACTTTCCAGGGACTTTAGCCGAGCTAGACTCCTGAAAGAGTTTTCTGAAAAACCCGCTGTAGTAGGGAGGGGTACAATAATTAGTAATTTTTGCTAATATGCTTGGACAATCATGGTGGCTGGTGCAGTAGAAATAATTAATCCAGTGCTCACGAGAGGTCCAAATATTTAACTCTTGAGAAAACTGAAAACATGTTATTCGTATGAAGAATTTCAGTCAGAGAGGTCTTAAGAATATTGTTCTGGTCGACAGATCGGTGTTGCCAGAAGCATTACAGATGGTGGAAGCCAGATGGGACTTTCAAGTGAATCGAATGACATTACCGTGGGCCCTTCGTTGGGTTCACACTTGAGGCTTGAGAGACCGAGGGCATGAGGAGGCTAGTATGATATGTGTAAGATGGTCATTTGTTAATTTGAGGTAAGGTGGGGGAGGAAGGATGAGGAAGGGGAAAAAGGACTGTATAGAACCCAAAAATTTCGGTATTATAAATGAATTCATCTGAGTGGTCCCGAAAAAGTTAGGTAGATTCCAGAACGGCTGTTCTCGTGTCCTGTTGTTCACTCTGAAAATGTGCATTAGGTATGTGGTGAAGAGCTGACACACGAAACTCTAGTCAACCACCTCCCTAACCTAAAGTTAATAAAGATTGAAGTGAAAACCGTTGAGAAGACGAAATTTCCACCATCTTTTCCTAGTTGCAGTGGTTTATGAAGCTTCAAATCGCCAAACCAGCTCGTTGCTGAATATTCGTGTCGGTTCCGCACATTGGTTACAACAGTGCTGTAGCCATGCTCAGGCTTTTCACGGATTCACGGATTGATACACAGGATCGAGGCTTTTGCCCAAGTTTCCCGGATCGGTTTTGTTCTTGTCGGTCAGTGGCTGTCGTTCACCTGAAAGGCACAAGTGAAAAAAGGGTGTAGCACTGCTCTTTATGTTCTCAGCGCGGGGCAGTATGCTCGCCAGCGCGAGGATTCGCATAAATAAATGTCTAATAGTGCTTTAAATTGGGTTCGAGAAGGAGCGTGTACAACCGTCGGAGGAAGGTCATTCCACGCAGCTACTACCCGAAATGAAAAAAAGTTTTGTCTAACGGATGTGTGTGCCCTGAGCTTGAAGATTTTCTTACTATGTCCCCGCCGGGTGTTTGCTGGGTCAACGGTAAAAAACCTGTTTGCCAAGCTTTGTTCAAACAGGGCGTAGGTAAGAATTAGGTCCCCTCGGAGGCGACGGTACTCCAGGGGAAAGAGATCAAGCGTCGCGAGACGCGTTTCGTAGTCCACGGACTTGAGGCCGGCAACCATTCTCGTGGCGGCCCGCTGGACACGCTCAATGAGGGTAACGTCTTTCGTACGTCCTGAGTAGACAACTTGGTTGGCGTACTCCAGGAGCGGTCTGACGTAGGCCCCATAGAGTATTTGGAAGTCCATGCGAGTAATACGGGAGAAGGTACGTCGGATCATCCGTAAAACGGCGAATGCCTTTTGGGCCGATTTCTCATGGTGTAGTGCGAAGGACAAGTTTGAGGAGACCCAGATGCCTAAATCTTTTTTGGCATCTATCCTCATGATGTTTTCTGGTCCCTTTTCACCATGCATAACAAAGGCATTCGCTGAATCCCCTCCAAACGACACATGGACGCACTTTTCATCATTCAGAGGAAGGTGCCAGTCCAACGACCACTGCTTGGCAGGATACATGTTGAAAGCCACAACACATGAAGCACTGTACGTTTATCCTACATGGAGGTTAGTGAAAGCATTTCAAAGCGATTCATTCTGTGATAGAATTCAGCGGAGGTCGGTTATCATCGGATTGATCTGGATATGCAGTCCGGTGACGGACGCGCCAACAGCTTCAGTCCCGGAGCGCGGTTAGATTGATTGGACCAATCAAAGTGCTGAGTCTCACTCATCCGGCTCTCGTCGCAATCGGTCCTGTTTTTGGCGTATTTCGCTGAGATTTAATGCGATGGAAGTGAGGCTTGCTGCGTCAGCTGCACGAATGCACCGAATTCGTGCTCGGACATTCTTGCCACAGTATCCAGTTATTCCAAAATACCCAAAATGCGCTTCTTTTGCTTCATATGCCGTGTCGCGTCCACACCATCCAAAGCCGGAGCACTATGGAGTGCCAAGTTTGGACCAAAGTCTTGAAAAGTATCTCGCCTATGCAAAGCCTCTGGTCACACCAGAGGAATGGGAAAACACGCGTAATGTAATTTGAATCTGCATCGATGCAGCGATGGCTGCAATTTTTCAGATTGTTTCGCAGTACCTTTCATCAACCCACGTCGCGAAACTACAAGAGCAACTTGTTCAGCGAGCCAAGATGGAGGCCAATTGGGTGAGTGTTCATGCAAAATATCGTGCGTCCAGCATTAGAAATATCCGTTTACTGTTTGTTTGAAATATAGGTATGGGCTTTGCGGAACTTATCAGTAGGGTCAGTATCCCATGAACTCATCTGTAGGCCAGCTAGCACAAGTGATGACAGATCCTCACATGACATTCAATCATCTGACGAGGTTTTCTCACTCCACCACCACTCAGTCTAACTGGAGTAACGGTTGGGCAAGCAACAGAAAATTCGCCCAAGGGAACTATTTATGGCGCTCTGATCAACTCTAATTTGTTTATTCCAGTGACAGAAATGATCTGTTGATGCTACTTTAATGATGAAAGAGCGTCAACACACTGTACAGCACACTATGCAGTATGCCCGACGAAAAGACAATTTTCAGCATCATGATGAACAGCACTAGGTTTGTTAAATTCATGTCTCAAAAAGCGTTTTGTTCCGTCCGTCAAAGGCCTAGCTGGGCATTTCTGGGTGGAGCTTGAGCCATATTTGGAACATCAGTAGTAGCAATTGACATCACACATAAGGTGAGGGATAATACCATCCTAATGATAATAATAAGAGTGATAACAATATGTACAGGACACATGAAAAAGCTATAATTTGAACACCCCCCACTCAGACCAGGCTGGGTTGTCCTTGTGTACCCGGGATTTACAACACTCCAGGTGTTTTTCACATCGGTCTTTTGTACCATGAGGTCTTCCATATATTCTTTCGAATTAACCGATCACATGGCATCGAACACCTGCATCAGTTGACTCGAAATTTTCACTTACCAAATGGACACATTTATTGCCATTTTGAGTTCTTCGAAGACTTCAAAGGCCTCCAGTCTGTTGAACGACGTAAAGTTGCCTACGTACAGTAAAAACGTGAAGAATTTAGTTGCCTTTAAGCGCTTCCTGCATGCCAAATAAGACATTTACGTGGAAGATCAACTGCCAGCACATGTTTTTAACCTCATGATCCATTCGATTACGCCTTTAATGATGGCCGTGCCTGATATCCTGGGCAAATAGCTGGAAGCATATTCAGCAACCGTTTATCGAACACCAAGTACAATCTGTACACATAAGCTGGGGGGACAATCGGTTATTGAGAGCGTAAAATCCTCATATCGGAAACAGAAGCTAAGGTCCGTTTAAGATGGAGCAGTCAATGAGGGAAATGTCATTGTTCTTCCATAGTGGATACCTTTTTCTACACAAAACCTTGCGAAATACCTGGCATACCCCTAGGTTTGTTCAATGAGTGACCAAGTATGACTGTCACAGATCACGCACAATAGCCGAACACTGATGGGATGTTTGCCGTTGAAAAGTACACTCATCATCTCTGGCATCAGTTCAGTTCGTTGCTAGCCTCCGCAGTATATGCCGATGGCAGAAGTAGGATTTATTCATGGTGGTATGCATCAGCAGAGAATGGGCGGTAGCTGCGTCTTCAAACTATTGTGCGCATACATTCCGTCTAAATTCAGCTGTATGTCCGTTTGAGCAATTTGAATGGTTTCTCAATTGATTTAGCAGACCATATTTCAAATCCTTATACACCTGCGTTCGGCAACTCACTCATCGTATGACGTGCAGGCGTAGAGTGCCAGCAGTCTTTGGACCTGTTGGCAGGCTTGGGTATATCGGCTCAGGTGCTTCCAGCACTGCGGCAATGTCGGAATCGAGCAAATTAGCCCACTGGTTAAATCGACGGACCGCTGACGGAATGGCGTGTCCGGGGATTCATTGTGTTTTTTAAGGGTGTATTGTTAACCTACGGTGGCGAAATGGGAGGGAAGAATTTCTAAAGTCCTTCGTTCATCCCGTCGAGGGGCTCATCCCTCGCTCTCCTGTGACATTTGAGATGGTTCCAGAAAATCCAACCTATCCTCAGAGGGTACGTTTTTCAACCCTCTGGCTAGTCCGTCGTCGGATAGCCGCACACATTTTCATTTTGAGCATGAATACTAATCCACATTTTACAGGCGTTCATGCGTGTATGGCAAATAGTGGATGGGTTACCGTTGGCGCCAGAAATAAAGCTGTCATTTCCACCGTTCTACGGGTTCTGGAACAACGACACTTCTTCCAGCAGCCAAAAATAGTGGTATTCCTTGACTTGAAAGCTGCTTTACCCCACGGAGGGTCGGAACAATGGCAGTATCTGGAACAAAGGTGTTCCAAATAAATTTTTACTTTCTTTGAGGCGCTGTACCACAACTCTCGTGGAGGTGTGAAGGCCTACGGAATGCTTTCGCCTGAGTTTACCACATCAAATGGTATCAGGTAAGGCCGTCCTGTTTCACCTTTCCTCTTCAACTTCGTCGTCCATGTGATCATGCCACGCGAGACCCCAATCTATAATGCCTGTCGGGTCCGAGTGCTCCCAGAACATTCGCCCACAGCTGTCGAGTACGTAAACGACATAGCTGAGCTGTGATCTGACACCACTTTAATGCAAGCAATATTAATTAATCCGAATAATTCTACCTCATGGTTCGGAGTACGATTCACACCTGCAAAGTGTAAAGTGCTTCCGCAAGACTTGGTAGAATGAAACCCCAACAGCATGCTTTGCGGATCAGTTAATCGGGGTGATAGACAAATCTGTCTACCAAGACAGTCCCAGTGATTCACCGAAAGGCAATATTTCCATCTGCACTGGGAAGCCCAGAACAGCTTTCGTGAAGCTGCAATACCTATGGCGTAGGCGTAACATCAACTTTGCTGTCAAGGTTTGAGTTAACAATGCTGCAGTGCGCTCCATAATGTTATAATTATATATATATATATACATATATATATGTATATAAGGGTATGATTATACTGCTCGCAAACCTGGCTACTGTACGCTGTACGTCGAATACTTTTCGGAGGAACTAACGACTGATGAACTGATCTCACTCCATAGGCTGCGCTGGCTTTGTCACGTGCTCCGTGTGCCAGTTACCGGTTTCATCAGGGAGCCATTCTCGTACAGCCACATGAAGGGTTGAAAAGATCCAGGAAAGGTGAATGCTAAATTAGCTACAAATTGTGGAAGCTATTACCAGCAAACTTGGCCTTGCTGGTCGCTGCTTTCTCCTCCGAACCCCGAGATGTCACAGTGATTAGAGACATCGTGAGACGTAGCAAGATGGCGCATGTATCCAAGTTGTTGCCTTCAATGCGTAGTTCCCCTCAAGATACCCCCAATGAAAAGTCCAATGACACCCCTGTACGCACCAATCATATCTGCTGCCGCCTTCAATGCGGGGCGGCCAATGGAACCCCAGCAGCTATAACCAGTGTACGACGAACACGCGGTTTTTACATGGGAAGATAATGATGATGATGTCACCGTGGTCTGTCTTCAGTTGTGCAACGATCCCGCGGGCTATGTGAGTTAGTTTGGGCTCAACAAATCTAGAAATGCCAATGATGAAGAATGGTGACTCGCTTTACCGCGATAAACCGTAATACGAGGTCGTCAGGAGGTAAAGTCGTACTGTCCTCTACAAAGTGTAAAGGCGGTAATGCGTTCCCTTCAGGTGACCAGCCAAATATACGGGAGCAGTGGCGCTGTTTCCTCCCTATGAAGAAGGACAGACCAGATAAGGTCAACCCTAAAATCACACACTTCGATCACCCAATGGTTGACCGTGGCCGCCGGCGCGTTATCCACTGGGGTCGAAGCCTTTTTAAACACAGATCGTCTGGTGCTGCTCAACAGGCACTTGCTGTGCGCAGCTGCACATGGAGTCAGACGATTGTGCCTCCCTGCGTCCTCTGGCCAGACCTACGCCTGCAGTCAAGTGGGACGGTCCATAGGGTCATTGGCCCCGAAGGCTTCCACCCTAACAACTGTCTCGCGGTTCAGGTTTTATAGTGAGATGCTTGACGAAGTTTCCCCGAAAAATATCCTGCATCTAATCTCTTGCGGGTCAGACTTCTGGGTCAAAGGCTCCCATAGGGTATCTCAAGCAACATGTCTTTCTCGGTTTGGCAACCGGGAAGCTTCATTTGCCCATGTACCTTTTCGTCCATCGGCCATCATTCATGCAGCCTGCTCACCCATCTAGTGATACACTGGTGTTAATCCTTCCCTCAGTACCCTAGTCATTGTTTCCTGTTTAAACTATCACCTAGCAAGACAAATCAACACAGCCCCTTAATAGACTCCAGAAATCTAGACTATTTTGCCGACCAAACTGGACAACAGACCTCTCTTTCTTAAGCAATGCCTTCCGTTTCTATCGATTTATGCTGTGTTCCCGAAACACGTACAAGACGTCCTTTCGGTGGTACACCACAAAACGCCTAGAATGATCTCAGGTGTTTTACGTTCCACTCTTCGGGTATCTAGTGATCCTGAAGTAAGGCGTCGGGATATATGTAGCGTGGGGGTAAGAATCAGCCCTAGGTCTGATTGTAATTTTCCGAGCTGGATCCCAGTAACCAGTCATCTTTGCGCTGTACAGCTGTTCAGTTCAGTTAAGATTAGTGCAGAAATTTCTGGCATTCTTTCTGGGGTACGTGACTTGAACCTGATTGTGCCAATGTGATGGATCAGATATCACCGGGTCCCATCAGAATTGTGTGCCGAATCAGAGCAGTTCTGTCAACCGACTCTGGTGAGTTTTAGTAGCTAACCACTGTCGAGCTGCTCTTGCTGGGAGACTGTTGGAAACGCACAGTCATGCTGATGCCGAATGTTGGTTGGAGCGCGAATGGAGGAGAGTGAAAGGACGTAGACTTTCAACTTTGATAGCTGTCCATTAAAGCAGTCTAACTCGACCAAACGAGCACTGGATATAGTCGAGGTCAGCAGATATAGCATCCATAAAAGCCGTACCAACAGCTTGCGGATCCGGCGTCCCATGACGATCTCTCAAGTGCCGGAAGCTTAAGAGCCTTCTGAGTTTGCTCCAATTATTTCAACAAGTTTCGTGCATTATTACTCACCTCGTTTGGTCTTTGAGAAGCTCTCGAACCCTGATGTGAAACAAG